TGAGCTGAATTCAGCACACTCCTGGGGTGTCAACTTATTGATGAAGAATCAATAAGTAATATATATACACTGATTACTCCCAAACTTATATTTTCTGCCTGGACATATCCTCTGAACTCCTGAATTCACTAGATTGATCTCTAAATGTTTATTCAACAGCTCTTCTTAAATGTCTATTAAGCACCTTAAGCTTAACTTGTTGACCCTAATACTAGAATGTGAAGTCTATGAGGAAAGGGAGCTGTACTTTCTGTATAGGAGTTTAAAAAATAATCTCTTGATTTTTTTCCCCCTAAATCTACTTCTTTCCCAGGGCTATTTATCTCAGCAGATCACACCACCATCCACCTAGATAGTGAAGAAAAAAGAAGAGTCATTCCTGGTTCTTCTTTCTTTCTCTCTCCTTTTCTCATCATTCCCAAGCATCCAACCTACAGCAAGTGCTACAGCTCCACTGCCGTGGTCCATCTGGATGCCTGCACTCCTTTCCAGCTCTCCTGTTCTATTTGTGGAATGATGGCCTCCCAAGGATGTCCACCTAGTAATTAATCCCTGAATTTATGAATATATTACCTTATATGATAAAGGGGACTTTGCAGATGTGATTTAAATTAAGGATCCCAAAATGAGGGAGATTATCCTAGTGTTGTTGTAGTGTGCCATGAGTCAGACTCAACTCATAGTGACCTCTCCTTGGGTTGCTGAGGCAGTACCACTGTAAGAAGACAGAATGGCTAGCAGGCTTGAACCACCAGCCTCCTAGTTAAGAGTTAAGTGTCTTAGGCATTATGCTACCAGAGCTCCTGGGTTAGCCAGGTGGTCCCAATGTAATCACAAAGATCCTTTTAAGAGGGAGACCAGAGGATCAGAGTCAGAGAGAGATACAAGGGCAGAAGCAGAGGTCAGAGGGAGAGAAGATACTATGCTGCTGGCTTTGAAGATGAAGGAGTCATAAGCCAAGCAGGTGGCTTCTAGGAGCTGGAAAAGGCAAAGAAAGAATTTCTCCCCTAGAGCCTTCAGAAGGAATGCAGACCTGCCAGCACCTTGATTTTAGCCCAGTGAAACTGATTCTAGAGCTCTGACCTCTGGAACCATAAGATAATAGATTTGTGTTGTTTTAAGTCATTTGCAGTGATTTGTTACTGCAGCAGTCAGAAACTCATACTCTACTATAGTCTGTAATCTACAATGTCACCACCATCTCTCACCTGCACTATTGTAATAGATTCATAACTGATCTCTCTTAGTCACCTCATGACCCCTTACAAATCTTTCTGTAGCAGTCTGGGAAATAATTTAAAAAAACAAACGAACAAACAACAACAACAACAACACCCTGCTCCAAACTGTCCAATGGCTTTTGATCCATTGGAATAAAATTGAAACTCCTTACTGAGCTCTATAGGACTCCACAGCCCTGGCTATTTCTCCAGCTCTCTTGACTTATTCTCTCCCTTGTCTGCCTTTTTTCAGTTGTTCTGGCCTTGGGACCTTTTCATTTGCTCTACCTGAATGCTCCCACCTCCCTCAGATGGCCAGATAGCTATTTCCTTCATGTTTCCCAGGTCTTAACTCCAAAATCACCTTCCCAGAAAGTCCCTTCATGACAATCCAGTCTGAAATAGTCCTCCAGTACTTCCCAACACTTCATCTTCTGAGTTATTTTAATCATTTTTCTTATGACTGCTGGGTATGGGTATTTCCTTATTTATTTGTGCATTTGTTTCTAGTCTATCCTTCCCACTAGACTGTTAACTCAGTGAGAATGAGACACTCATTTTCTATTGAAAGTGTCTTCCTGCACCTAGGCCAAACTTGCACATAGTAAGTGATCCAAAAAAATGAAAGGGATCACTAGAGAATATGGCTAGGGAAGAATTCTCAGTGAAGACAGAGATGTCTGTTTAGCTGGTGTTTGTACGCTTTTTAGTGACCAGGGAAAAAGATCTAATTTTGAAAGAGGTTGTTCTCTGACTTTTTAGTGGAGAGAGAGGAATAAGATTGTGGATGAAGAATTGAGCCTAGAGAAGTCAGATTGGTACATAAATTCATATGTTTTCAAACTACCATGTCTTAAATTTGATGTCTAAAATTTTATCTCCCCATTAGGAGGAAAAAAATCACTTTGAACAAATAATTTCGGTATAAGGGGAGTTTGGAATCAATATAAAAACAATCTACCAGCACTTTGCAGCAGAGGGGGTATAGCTCAGTGGCAGAGCATTTGACTGCAGATCAAGAGGTCCCCGGTTCAAATCCGGGTGCCCCCTCAATTACTTATCCTATTTTTCTTCACAGTTTCTCAGTTATAACAATAACCTTAGTTAAAAATCAGCCGGCTCTGAACCTGGAACCATGTCCCAAGAGCTATTGTTTTTTTTTCGAGCCGTGGGCAGTGTTTTTCACCTGCCGGATTTTCTCTTCAAATGTCCCCGGGACCAGAGAATGAGAACAACAGAAGTCTGAACCGAGTCCGACTCGCGGGCGAGAGGTTCAAGTGTGCTCTGTTTTAAGGCAGAATGAAGGCGCCGAAATAGTCCCATCTCCAAGGTTACTCCAAACCTGTTGTTCACCACCTGGTTTAACGTTAATTGTAATTTGTTTCTGGTTAAAAATGGTGTGTCGCGAGCAGGGCGTGGTGGGAAATAGTATTATTTTGCCTAGTTTATATTCTACCAGGAAAACTAGAAGGACGAATCCAGGTTTACAAGGTGTAGTGTAAAAGGACAGCACAGGTACAAGGCAGAAAGTAAAAGGCAGTCAGGGTTCCGTTTCTTGTGCTGGCTGAGCGATCAGAGTTTCTGCATTGATGAACGTTAAAGAGACTAAGTTCGAGGCCTCTTACTGGAGAAAGTGTTCTATTTCTTAAGTGTTTGGTACCAGACCACGTTTTTGCTCTCTTCATGTCCAGTTCTGCCACGCAGCTCACAATAATGCAAACCATGTTTTCCTTTTTTCCTTTTTTTTTTTTTAAAGACTCCCTAGTACTCCCCCGGGGCCGGAGGCATGACACAACCAAATTCCAGGTTTAAAATATCTTGCAGCTGCCCCTGACCCAGGCAGTATGCCTCTCCCCTACTTTATTTTTCCTTTTTTTGGGCAAAACCCAGTCTAAGGGGGATGTTCCTGCTTCTACTTTCCTTACATGTTACATTTTCCTAGGGCTCAGTAGTGATACTCTCAGTCAGTCACGCAGCCAGCAGATACCTGTTCCCATCTAGGTTATGAAACTCGATGGCCTTCGATTATTATTAGTTCAGCGGTTCTCAAAGTGTGACCCTCCGGGACCAGCAATATCGGCATCATTTGTGAACTTACTAGAAATGCAAATTATCAGGGCCTCACTCATAGAGCTACAGAATCGGGTTTAGGGTGCAAAAAAAAAAAAAATCTCCACTGGGTTTGTTTAACCTAGGGTGCCTTAAGCTGTTGAGGTGATTCTCATGTGTGCTCAACTTTGAGAACCACTGTCTATATTAATTTTTATCCAGTTGCATCAGGTTAAAACTTTGTTTGTAATTTAAAATGAGCTTATGGGTGTGCATTGGCCATTTGAACGTTCTCGAAGTGCTTTCGTTCTGCCTGTTATCATGAGTAATAAGGGAAGGGTGACCACAGCATGTCCCTGTCTCCGGTAATATATAATAAAGGAAGTTGAAGTTGGAGAAGAGCTGTCTGTGGATTTTCCTTTCTTGACCCACCCACTCCCACCAGGAACGTAACGCCAACTCGGGGAAGTCATCCTGTCCCTTGAACCCGTTCTTAAAACTGCCAGACACATCTGGGGCTGGAAGAAATCCAGACTCCTCTTGGAAGCTTTTGTACCTGATTTGGGCGCACACCCTCCCCCCTTCTTTTGCTGAGCACAAAGCAAAACCGAAAGCTTTCCATTTAGGATGGAAAATGAGGAAGGGATTTTTTTCGAATTTTTTTGTTTTCTTTTAACCTAGGACCCAATGTTAAAATATGAAAGTCCAGAGAACATGAAACAGAATTACGGAAGTTATAGGGAAAGAACAAAAAGGGTAGAGAGGGGGCACCCGGATTTGAACCAGGGACCTCTTGATCTGCAGTCAAATGCTCTACCACTGAGCTATACCCCCTCGCCGCTGCAGGGCCTGGAAAGGGGTCTTTTGAGTGCTAAGATACTATTGCCACTGCTCTGTATGAGCCGTGGAGCTTAGGAGAAAGGAACGAAGAAGGAAAAGGGACGAAGCGGAAAGCAGAGGGTGTACGAAAAACCGGAGGATCCCGGAGAAAGCTACAAGGCAGAGGCGCGGGAAGGAGAAAGAACCAGCCCGGGCCGCGAGGCGCAGAGTTGGAGCGGGAGGGACAGGTCCTGCCCCACAAATGTGGGAAAGGGTGTATGGGGGAGGGGAGCTAAATGAGGGGTGGGGCAGAGGATTCCCACTAGGTCTGCAGATTCACGGCAGGTATAGACGAGTACAAGATAAGTCCCCGAATAATGCCCCACGGTGAATCTGGTCTGGCGTTCAGAATACATGCGCGAGGTTTGACCACCTCCTGCAGCCCGGGCGCCCCAAATGTGTGCCCAGACTCGTTCCGCACTGCCCGTGGCGCGGGAAGTGCCTTTGCCAAAGCCGGTTCCCGGTGCCTTGCCGTCGGGGGCCGCTCTCCAGCGCACCGTCCACCAGGGCGCGCAGGGGCGCGGGGACCCTCGGAACGCACCTAGGCGCGCACCCCTGGCCCCGCAGCCCTACCCGGAACCCGCCCCCGCGCAGCCCCACGTCGCCCGGGGAGCGCGCCTCGTCGCGCGCGCCCCTACCCGCGCCCGCGGCGCGTTCCCGCCCCGGTGCAGCCCCTCCTCCCCGCCGTGTTTATTAGGGGAAGGAGGGCGGAGGCGGAGGCCAGTTCCCGAGCTCCAGCCGCCGTCGCCGCCGTCTGTATAGTCGCAGCCGCGGCCGCCTCGCGCCAGTCCGCCCCGGGGACAGAGAACGCGCGCGAGCTCGGGTGCCCCCGCCCCAGTGTTTCACGGAGCCATGAATCCCAATTGCGCCCGGTGCGGGAAGATTGTGTACCCCACGGAGAAGGTGAACTGTCTGGATAAGGTGAGCCTGGCACCGGAGACGCGATTTTGCAATCCCCGAGTGCTCGGGTTGGGGGAGGAGAGAGGGGCCGGGTCTAAGGCGATCCCTGGAGGCGGGAAGGGAGGGCGGTGTCTTGGGGTGTAAGGACAGACCCCTGTCTGGAATCCAGCAGATCCGGGGCGAGAAGAGTCCACGCGTGGCGGGACTGAGAACAGAGTGGGTTCTGTGCCCCGGACTGAGCGGATGGGAGGGGAGCAACGAAGCCTGCCTGATGTGTGTGGGGGGGTATTTAGGGGTGCAGTTCCGCCCCCTAAGGCCGGGAGAGTGAGAGGAGCCGGCCGCTCCCTCTCCCCGCTGCGCCCAGCGCCAAGTAGGCGGAAGCGCGGGGCGCTGGGGGAGGGGGTAATAGGGGGCGGGGCAGAGACTGGGGGGCCCTGACGAAGCAGTGCCCTCTGGTAGCGGATGGCCCCGCTTTTTGGCCTGGAGACTAGGAGGTGGAGGCTATCAGTCCGGAAGTGTTGCATATGGTGAAGGGGGCTTCGGATAAGGACTCGCGCCCCACCGAGGGGGATCCTCTTTTTGGAAGACCTGCAGCCCCCTTGGTGATTCGTTGGTTAAGGGACCATCAAACCTACTCCCTTTGCTTCCCAACCCCCAACTCAGATTAAAAACCAACTCAGGGTGCTGGGCGGCCCAGCCTGAACGGGGCGCGGTCGGGTGCTGGAGTGGGGTGTGTGTGTATGTGGGAAATATTTCGCAGAGATGTCTTGAAATTGTGCTCAGAGCCTGGAGACCGGCTCGTAGAACAAAGAGCTAACTTTTCACAGCAGGTTTCTCCAATGGAGGGTGGGGTTGGCCGAGTTCAGGGGAAGCCAAGGAAAGGGGAAGGTGTTTGGGAGGAAAACAGGGTGGCCTGGTGGAAATTTCATTGTCTCTTGGGGGCCCTTATACTCGCCTCCCATGCTGGACTCCTTCATCTGGTTGACATTATACTTCTGGAGGGGGATGGAGAGTAGAACTGGATGTTTTCAGCACAGTTTGGGTCGATCGGGTCCTCTTGGAACCTCCCTAAGGCAAAATCTGCCCCCCTCCTCAGACAGCAGAGACCCCTGGGATTTTGTATCTGTCTCCATTGTGTCATCTTTCAAAGCTGGTTTCAAGTCCAAATATTCCCATCTTACTGTCTGAATTGGCAAGGGTGTGGGGTACAGGGTGGAAGAGGGATGCAGAGCTCTGGTGCCCAGTTCATTTTAGACCGGGAGCTGGTTTTAGTTGGAAAGGGTAGCTCATTGAATATTGTGTCTCCCCTCCCTTTTGGGGCTGGAGCTTTCTCAATGACCCTTGGCCTCTGAGTCAAGATGAAGAGGTAGGATTCTGAGGTTTTGAAATACATTTGAAGTTGCTCTTGGCGGGACAGAGAATATAGGACTATGGCTCTTTCATTGCCCCTCTTGGCTTGGCTGGGCAGGAAGAGAGAGGGAGAAACATATGTGGGCAGAAGGGGAAGGTGCTGACCTTCTCAGTGACCATTCCAGCTTCTGAAGGGTAGAACTCGAGCTTACAGGGACTGTTAGTTGTTTGTTGTTAGGTGCGGTCGAGTCAGCTCTGACTCATAGTGACCCTGTGTACAACAGAACGAAAACACTGCCTGGTTCTGTGCCAGCCTCACAATCCTTGCTATACCTGAGCCCATCGTCGCAGCCACTCTGTCAATCCAAGAATTGTCTCCTTGAGAAGTTACCTGACTTTGGTCACTGGGGTTTTTGCTCTTCTCTGGTGGTAGGGATTTTGGCTTCTGTACCTTGAGTTCCCTGTGCCCCCTTTTTCTCCCCAGTCATCAGTTAGGAAGAGGCTGTGGACACTTTGATTATTTAAAAAAAAAAAGAAAAGAAACAACCAAACTCCGACTCATAGTGACCCCTCCTTGGGTTTCTGAGGAGAGATTGCTAGACTAAGTTGGGAGACTGGATCCTAGGTACAGGTCTGCTCCTGCCAGCTTTATGAACTGTTCTGGGCCTTACAGTTTTTGCCATCTGTGAAATGGGTATGATGATGGCATTTCCTTGGAGGTGGGACAGTGTACTTGGAAAGTACCGGCTGAAGTGCCTGGAAGGGGTTGTAGTAAACTGTACCCTCCCTACCTCTTTGGGATCTTGTGTCTAGTCTGACATTACTCCCCTTGTAAAGACCTCCAGTGTTGTGTGTCAGAAGGGAGGGGGAACTCCCTAGGTGATCTCTTGCCCTGGCTGGAAGAGGACATTCAGGTGGGATGTCCAGGGAAATGGGAGTTGGTGATTCCTCCCTCTTTTTAGAGCTTTCGCTATAGGAGGTGGCTGCAGGGAGACTTCACCCCTGCACTGAGCAAGAGGCCTGGTATCAGACTTATTTTTCTTAACCCTCTTCAGGCAGTAACTGGTACCTGGAGGATGTTGTGCTGAGACCTGGGGTTGGGGATCATTCAGTCCCATAGGCACTGTTGCTAGCCAGCTTCCTGAGGCTTCCCATTTACAGCAAGGGATTGTTACAGTGAAGGAATCAAATTAGACTCACTTGTTAAAGAGCACTGGTGGTGTAGTGGGGAATATATTTGGCTGTTAACTTAGAAGGTCAGCAGTTCAGACCCACCATCTGCTTGGTGGGAGGAGGATGAGACAGTCTATTTCTGTAAAGATTTAATTTATAGCCTTGGAAACCCAATGGGGGTCGCTGTGAGTTGGAATCGACTTGATGGTGGTGGATTTGGTTTTGGTTTATTTTTTTGTCCCCCTGCAAGTTCCCTTATGGCTCTTAACCTACAACATGACCCAAAGCACAAGCTACTTCCCCAGGTTAGCCTTTTCTCCTCCCTGAGCCGTATCTCCCAGAGGTACAGGTAAGTAGAGGCTATGTCACCTCTGACTGGTTGCCCTGCCCCCAACCTGCAGTACCCAGTGTGCAGTGCACGCTGGATAAATATGTATTGCTGATGACTGTGTTTGAGGAAGGAGGTCGAGATTTGCTTCCCCAGAGGACTTCTGGGATTAGGGTTGGGGGAGAAACAAGGTGACCTCATTCCCTCATTCATTCTACAAATATTTATTAAACACCTGCTTTGTGCCAGGTACTCTGAAGGGCTGCCACAGGGCTTTGGGGAGGGAGAGAGGCTTTGTTTCTTTTTCCTATCAGCTGTGTATCCTCTACATTTTGAGTGAGATGTAAATTCTGTCCAGGCCTTGGTGGGAAACATCATTTCTTTCTGGGGACCTGCATTGTCAAGCATCTTGCCTTGTCCCTTTTCCCTGGCTTGCTTCCCCAAGCTCAGGTGGAAAAAGGAGACATTTGGGAAGGTGAAGGATTGGCCGCACATAGTTCCACTAGGGTCTCTGCCTCTGGTTATCTGAGCTCCTGAGCAGGGGACAACAAGTTAAAGAAGGTTGGGCTGGACAGTGGAATGCCTAGGTTCAAGGACACGCAAAGGAGACAGATGCTTACAGTTGTGGTAGTGGATTTTCCTAGCTGAGGCTTAGAGGAACCCATTATCAACTTGTGACCATCCATTCCTAATAGCTTCTACTTAATACCATGTGCCAGGTCTTCACAGCAGCATCACAAAGGAGGTGTTACTGCTCCTGTAAATTATGGACCCCATAAACTGAGGCTGAGATGGGTGATGTGGCTTGTCTCTTTCTCCTAGTCAGAGCTGGAATTCAATCCCACAGTTCTTTCTGCTCTGTTCGCCTGCTATGTTTGCCAAAAAAAGTACTTTTAGTTACACTGCCTCTTTAGTGTGGAAAGTAGGTCCCAGCTCTTCCTAACCCTGGGTGGCTAGGACCCTAACAATAAAAATCTCCCTTTGGAATCTGTGGAGTCACAGCAAAGGTTCATAGAGGATCTGTGCCTTTAAGCCAGTGGCCCAGGTGGCCAACTGAGCTAGGCTAGTGACCGGGCCAGGGTGGGGCTGGTATTGCCCCTGGAGGAGGGAGAAACTGTAATCCTGGTTGACAAGAAGGGAGAAGAGCTCATCCTCCTACCCTGAGTCACAGCCACCCCAGGCAGCCTGGGTGCAGAGGGCAAGGTGCCAGGCTGCAGTCACAACAGTGACCTGAAGCTTGCTCTACCACCCTTACCTCTGACACACACACACATACACAGCCAGAATCTCAAGAGGCCATTCTCCCCTAGTTCCAAATGGTGATTCTGGAAGGGTAGGGCTAGCCCAAGCCCAGCCCAAGCGAGGGGGATCCCATGCAGGCCTTCTGCCTCTGTCAGCCTCAGTTTACCTATCTGTGGGGTGGGTTGCCGCTTTGGAACCTCAGAGTGTCAAGGGTGAAGCTCGGCTGGAGCCTGGGAGCTGAGCTGAGAGGCTTCTAACAGCCCTCAGGTGTTTGGTCTAGGGGCAGTTTGGGTTTCTATTAATACAGAAACAATGGACTTATCTGGAAGCGGGATTAGAGTTGTACGCCCAGAGGTGTACTTTGCTCCTGAGTCACAAGTTTCAGGAATGGTTCTCTGAAATCTTCTTTCCTGGACCTCTAAGAAAGGGGGGCTCTTGCTCTGGGACATGGCTGGGTACCTAGGGAAGGAGGTAGGCCGAGGGTCACTATGGAACATACTGACTTATTTCTATGACCATTATCTTTAACCAGACCCCCTCATCTTTGAGACAGGATTGGGGTCTTTCTTATCTTGAGTTCTCTGGTGCCTGGCCTAGATTGGCCCACAGAGGCTGTTGGGTGATTTGTCATATTCTGCTTCCCCTCCCCACAGCTTTCTTGCACTAAAGAGAGCAGAGTGGCAGGAACTGCTGGATTTTCTTTAATCTCAGGGCCCTTTTCCAGAGAAAAGTAACGTGAGGCAGGTAGAGGTGACAGGCACTATGCTAGGTGCAGAGCCCACATCATCTCATAACTCCTGCAAGCACCACTGTGAGACAACAGGTTTAGATCCACTGTACAGATGTGGAAGGAGCTCTGGTAGCACAGTGCGTAAGGCGTTTGACTGCTATCAGAAGGTTGCCGGTTCAAACCTACCAGCCACCCCGCAGAAAGACGAGTGGGCAATTTACTTCCGTAAAGATTTACCAACTTGGAAACCCAAAAGGGGTCACTATGAGTTGGAACCAACTTGATGGCAGTGAATTGGGGTTTTTTTTTTTTTTTGGTTTTGTACAGATGTGGAGACTGAGGTCACTAGCAATCCTGTAGATGCTGAATCCACTCAATTTCATTATTCTGCTCTGCTTTCCCTGAGCAAGGCTACCCCCTTCCCATCTCTTTAGCCCCTCAGCCTGTAATGTGTCTAGCTGAGAGCAAGAGTTCTTTGGGGATGAAGGGGGGAAGAGCTACTGATGGAAGTGGGCACCCTCCCTTTGCATAGAGGCTCTCTTTCTTCTAATCGCAGTCTGGAGGCATCTTGTGGAACCCCTGGGCCAGGTCAGTATACTTTCCTCCCCTCCCTCAAGGGGCTTGACCATCTGCTGGGGCAGGGAGTGTCTGTCTGCCTACCTTTGTCTCCTCCAAGTCAACCAGGAGGCAGCCTTTGGAGGTCCCCTGTGCCAGGACAGTGCATAGTCCTGTGTGTGTGTGTGAAAGTGGGTCATGGTCTGGATTCCGGAGAATGTTTTTCCTGGCAGGCCCCTGTGGGGGTGGGGGTAGGGAGAGGCAGGGGCCCAGGCAGGGGCATATGTGTCTAAGCAGGCAGAGGCCAGCAGACTGGGTGGTGACAGAGGTAGGGCACTCAGCCAGCACCTCTCAGTCATTTTGGGGGCTGATGGGGGCAGGAACTACCCTCTTTTAGTTTTCCAGAGGGTTGTGTGTGTTGGGGTTATGTACCAGGAGGAGTCTGGAAGTTGCTGAGTGGCTGGGGCTCTGGGATAGGTCTAGAAGGACTGGTTAGGGTGGGGGGCTTTGAATGCTACTGCAGACCGAGCAGTAGGCCAGCCACCTCTTTGCTTCCAGACTTCTAGCTGGCCTTCCTCCCAAAAGAGTCATTCTCCTATCACAATGTTTAATAGTCCACCATAAGAGATTCCTTTGGGCCTCCTTCATAGGGAAAGTACCCTGTTAGAAGGCGATTACCCCCTTAAATGGTCCCCGTGGTCTCTGGTTCAAGTGGACAAGGGTGGGAGGAGGTGGTATCCCAACTTCTCAGCTTCCTTTTTCTACCCCCTCCTCTGCAGTGTCCCAAAAGCACCTCTTGGCTTGGGAGCCGTTTTGAAAAGCAGTATCTTAGGGGAGTTCCTTGACAGATGGCCAAGAACTAGTCCTGGGGGTTGGCACCTTTGAAAGTTTCTTTGGGCTCTTCCCTAGTTCCTGGCCTCTTCCTTTTGGGGGTTGGAAGTAAGTATTCTTGGCTACTGGGAAATGAGGCAAGGATAGGCCAGCCAGGTCACCCAGGCTTCCTGGACTCTGTGGTTCAGGCAGCCGGATGCCTAGTTGATGGCTGATCCCAGGGCCTCATCCTGGGGTGCCAGGGGAGGATGTGTATCTCTTTCGCATCGGTTTCCCTGGGAAGCACCGTTTCTCAGGGATTGGGTCACTTCTGTGTTGCTTTTTTCTCCTTCCCTCATTGCCCTCTACACTGTCCCCTCAGCTACCTTGAATTGGTTCTGACTAAGCAGGTTGAGGGTGCTGGACTTTGCTAGAGTCTTTCCCTTACTCTGTACTCTCCAGTGCATGCGTTGTAACTGTGCCTGAGTACAGTGGAGCTCCACCTGCATCCCAGCACACCCACCCCTGGCTGAGGTTCACACTTGATGTGCACTGAGAGGTGCCAGGTGCTGTGCTGAGGGCTTTGCAGGGGATTTCTCATTTAATCCTCACAAGGGTCCCTGAAGTGGTAGGTATCATTATGCCCATTCTACAGATGTGGAAACAGGCCCACGGGTGCTGGACGTTGTCGTTGGGGTGGAGCCAGCTATGGGGTGTCCAATGGCAAGACTTTTTTTATTTTACTTTATTGTGATTTGGGTGAAAGTTTACAGAGCAAATTCACTTTCCATACAGTAGTTCACATACACTTTGTCTCGTGACATTGACTACAATTTGCAACAATGCAATAGGTTACCTCTTCCCCATAGTTACCTCTTCTCTGTGTCCTTCCCTCTATGTACTCCTGCCCCTTGAGCTATGTCCCTGTGATACACAGCCCTTCTATTCTCCCATGATTAATCTCTCCAAGGAGTGTATCTACCTAGTGTAAATGTTCACCTCATATGCCTGTATTTTGTTTGGCTGGAAGCCACAGATATGGGTTCAATTCCAGACCTGAAGGGCAGCTAGGGGCCATAGTCTCAGTGGTTCCATCAGGCTCTATCAGACCAGCAAACCTGGTCCCTTTTTTTTTCCAAATGATTTTGAGTTTTGTTCCACATTATTCTCCCACTCTATCCAGGATTTCCTACATAGCTCACCCTCTGAGTGGTTGACAGTGGTAGCTGGGCACCATCTAGTTCTTCTGGTTTCAGGCTGAGGATCACATGGTGTACCAGTTGCTTGGACTAATTGTTTCCATGAATCTTTGGTTTTCCTCGTTCTTTTTTGCTCTGGATGAGGAGAGACCCATCTTTGCATCCAGATGGCTGCTTGCAAGCTTTTAAGATCCTAGTTGCTACTCGCCAAAGTAAGAGGTGGAACAGTGTTTGTATAGTGTGTTATGCCAATTGAGCTTGATGTCCTTGCGACTATGGTCCCGAGCCCACAGGTTCAACTGCTCGCTCTGATGGTAAGACTTTTAAAGCAGAGTTCCTCATTCCTCTCTTGGGAGGTAGGCTGTTGTGTGATCTTGTACCGGATCGCCCACACAGGGGTGAAAGAAGGACGAGGGAAGGGCAGAAAGGGTGTAGGTGTTGGTGGCCAGAGCTTGGGGTACCCACCTCACTCCTCTGGTTGGAGGCTCACAGAAAGTGGAGGGTTTTGAAGCTGGAGCACCAGCTGGGGCTCATGTGGGGTTTGTGTAGGCTTCAAACCAGTTCATTCTGGTTCAACCCCCTGGCTGCGAATTTGCCTTTCCACCGCAGATATACTAAATCAGAATGTATAAGATCCTGGGATGACTTTTCAAATCCCCATCTTGTTAAAATATAGATTCTGATTCAGTGTATCTGGGGTGGAAAGACAGTCCTCAGAAGAGGGTTAAACCAGGTTGGAAACCATGGTGTGTTGTGAGGCCCCCATGTGGGAGCTGGGAGTGCCTGGGTTGTGGGCCTGGGTGCGTGGGGGCTGGGCTCTTCTGGCTTCTCTGGGTGCTGTCAGGCTGGAGTAGCTGCCCTTCCATGTTCAGCAGCTGCTTCTTAGCAACCCTAGTGCTGCTTTGCATAAGCAATTAGGCCTTCCCCAGCTCTGGGCAGGAGGAGTGGTCTGGGGGAGGTAGAGCCGACCTTTTGGGGGTGCTTGCCACCACTGTAAATTGGTGTCTTCACCACTCGCACCCTTCATGTCTGCCCCTTCTCCCCCTCCTGACAGCTCAAATGGCTGACTGGTGGGGGGCAGGAAAGAGGAGGGGGAGTGTCATCAGCTGCCAGAACCTGTGATCTGAGATGTCCCCAGCCCACCCAGCATAATTCCATGTTCTTCCCACAGCTGTGGGCCTGAGCCAGACCTCAGGATGGAGCTGTCCCATGTGTCCCTTCCTCAGGCCTGAGTCTCCCTCCCCCCCCAGAGTCCTGGTGTCTGATGGGTGTTCTCTGCCTCTGTCCCCAGTTCTGGCATAAAGCATGCTTCCACTGCGAGAGCTGCAAGATGACCCTCAACATGAAGAACTACAAGGGCTATGAGAAGAAGCCCTACTGCAATGCGTGAGTCCTGCCCTGGGCAAGGGGCTGGGTGGGTACCTGGGCCCCTCCCTGAGTTCTTCTTTCCCTACCTACCCTCTCCCCTTCTTAATAACCACAAGGTGATGTTGCTGAGTGCTTCTGCATTCTACTTGATAAGTATTAGTCACATTTAGTCCTCACAAGAGCTGGGTGAAATGAGGGCTCTTGTTATCCCCATTTTACAGATCAGAAAGCTGAGGCTTTGGAGAAGGGAAAGGAATTTCCCAAGATCACATGGCCAGTAAGAAGCTAATTCAAGCCCTGTCCCTGGGCCATAAAGCAAGCATGTTCTTTCCACTGTACCCTGCTGAGAGAGGGATGGGGACTTTCTTCTTCTTCTTCTTCTTTTTTTTAATTTTTATTGTGATTTGGGTAAAAGTTTACAGAGCAAATTCATTTCCATATAGGGGTTCATACCCATTTTGTTTCATGACATTGATGGCGGTTCCCCACAACGCAACAGCTTTCTTCCCACTTCCTCCCTGTAGTTACCTCTTCCCTGTGTCCTTCTTTCCTATGCATTCCTGCCCCCTGAGCTATCTCCCTGTGCAAATACTGCCCTTCTGTTCCCCTATGGTTGATCATTTTAAGGAGTGTATCTTACCTGAGGTAAATATTCACCCTATGGTCAATTCCAGACCTGAAGGGGACCCAGGGGCCATGGTCTTGGGGATCTCACCAGGCTCTATCAGACCAGTAAGCCTGGTCTTTTTTATGGGCATGGAGTCTTTCAAGGATGGATGACCTGCCCTGTGTCTGCCCAGTAGTATTTGGGTTTGAGGGTTTTGTTCTTCCTTTTCTGCCTTTATTTCTCCATCACAACAAATGGCCATCTCTCTAACCTCACCTCTCCCGGACCAAAAGGTTTAGACACTTGGCTTTGGGGCTTCCCTCCTTTAGAAAACTCTCTGAGACCCTGGATCCAGCCCCTCCTGGTATTCATTTCTTGAGAAGTGGGGGTGCCGTGAAGAGCATTGTGTGGCTGGAGGCAAATCTTCTCCCTGCCTTGTGAAAGGCAGCTGTGGTTTTATTCCTTCCTTTTTTGGTGGAGCTGGCTTAGGCTCTGTTCCTTCCTCTCTTTGACCTGCAGCCTGGGCTACTTGGGGATGAGGAAGGATCTTCCATCCCAGAGGTACACCCCTATCCCTTCCCATGCACAGGACTTCCTCTCAGTTCCAGAGGTGCCTCACCTTCCTTCTTCAAGTTGACTTTATGCCTAGCAAATGCCAACTCAGTGCCAGGTCCATGGCACCTGCAACCTCACAGCTACCCTGCTGGGTTACGGGTTGTGAAGGTTATCACTTGTAAGTAGGTGGCAAGGTCAGTCTTCAAAATCAGAATCTGATGTGAGTCTTTTTTTAAAAAAATTCTCTGTCAGGAGTCTCGGTACAGTTCGAGTTCAGCCACCTAGAAGAGGAAGTCTTTTTCCTTTTAAAGCCTGTCTCTGCCTTACTCCACCTCTCACTCTTGCTGTTACCACTGCCCTGTCTCCTTGGGGATTTGATCATTCCTCAGACAAGTATTGCCTGTCTGCTGCTAGGTACCCAACCTGTACTAGGTGCTGGAAAAACAGATTTCTGTAAAATCTCAGGCCCAAGAAACAACATCAGTTGTTGCCTTCTGGCAAGGTCTGGGGCGCTGGGAAGGTCGCTGGGGATGGAGGAAGGGTCACAGCTCTGTCCCAGCCCTTCTTTAGGGGCCCCTTCCCTCCTTTAGCTTCCTCTGTTCCTCTTCCCCCTACCAACCCCTCCCACCCCCCAAGGGAAATGGGACATTCTTTGAATTCTTAAGGGCTCACACAAGCCCTGATTCTCTGTTGCTTCCTCCCTCCTTTGGGGAGTGGGGTGGGGTTCAGAGAAGCTGAGGCACTTAACCTCTTGATTGCTGGACACTTTAGGCTGGATTCTGGGGGCTAGGGCTCCTTTGGGGGCAGCCTCTGAGCCTCCACTCTCCTGCAGAAGCCTGGTTGGACCCTGGAGCCCGGTGGGTGGCAGGGACTCAGTGCTTCTTCCAATCTCTTCCTAAGACTCCAGTAGCCTAGAATCAGAGAGCACTGGGAGTTGGAGAAAGAAATCAGAGGCTTGTCCTTGTTTTCTTTGCATTTTCTCAGCCTTGTGGCAAAGGCCAAGTTTACTTTCCCACCCTCTTCTGAGGAGGCTGTAGTGGGTGTGGGGGCTTCTTACAGGAACTGAGGGACTCTGTTATTGTTAGGTACCATCAATTCCAACCCCATGTGATGGAGTAGAACTGCCCCATAGGGTTTTCTTGGCTGTAATCTTTATGGAAGCAGATTTCCAGGTATTTCTCCTGCAGAGCTGCTGGGTAGATTTGAACTTTTAGCCTTTTGAAGCAGCCTGGGCTCCCTGGGGGGCTCTAGGAGAGGCAGGAAATGAAGTGGATCCCTTCCTGGATGCTGCTTGTAACCTGCTGAGGCAGAGGTGCCCTGTCTCTCCTCTCTTGGCCCCCTGCCCAAGATGCAGGTTTACCTTCCTCTTACTCTCCAGCTGTAACAGCCTTAGCCCCTGCCACACGCTACTGACCTTTGACCCAGCAGGGATGTTCTCTGGGAAGGACCAGGAAGAGTTGTGACCCAGCTTCTTTACACTCCAGCAGTAGTAGCACCTTGCTTTAGGCACTTACACTCCCTTAGCTGGCATCTGCTGAGCGGTGTCTGTGCCAGCAAGCCAGACAGGATGGGTCAGGATAAACCCGACGCAGACCAGCGTGCAGAGCTGCCTCACACCCTCTCTGAGCCTTTGTTTCTCCATCTATGAGATGGTGATAAAAATTTCTATGCAAGGACCCCGGATCCTAGACTAAGGAGTATTTATTAAGCATCTACTATGTGCCAGGCAAGGGGTTCTGATAGTGTAGGGTGCCTAAGGCACTTGACTGCTAACCAGAAGGCTGGTGGTTCAAACCCACCAGCTATTCCTTGGAAGGAAAGTTGGACCATCTACTTCTGTAGTGATACTGCCTCGGAAACCCAAAGACGGGTCGCTATGAGTCGGGTCTGACTCGATAGCACGTAACAACAACAACAACAACAGTGTGCCAGGCACTATGCCAAATATTTACTCTCATTCCTCTCTGTTTTCTTCTGCTTCTGGCCTCATCTCTCAGTAGCATCCAGTTCCCGAAGCCTTGGGGTTGCTAGGATTCCTGTCTGGGCCTTGCCTTTTCCACAGCACTACCCACTCCACTCTGGTCTCGTGCAGGACTGTAGAGGTGATCACTCTGGCGCTTTGCCAGGAAGTTGGGACCCACCCACCCAGTAAGTGAGTGTGTGTTTAACAAACAGGGAAGCATCTACTTCCGACTGTCTCTGGCCAGTCACTGAGCCCTATAAGGAGCCAGGGTCCTGCAGGAGGGAGGTCAAGAGAGAGGAATGTCTTTCTTTCCCCTGTGGCTTCTCAGAACTGGGATCTTAGTTCTGGAAGCAATGAAAAAGCCTCTTCTCTTGCTCTCTTTGCATCAGATTTGTTTAGGGTGAGGGACGGGAGAGGACACAGGCCAGAGCTCATAGTGTCTGCCTGTGGTGGTGGACCTTTACGTACGTGTGCTCACACACATGCCTGGTGTGTACCCAGACATGCATGCTGGTGTCAGGGAGAAAAGCCAGAGAGGCAGCAGACTGAATAGGCTGTGTTTGTGTTCACACATTCTGGCCTGACCACCCAGGCATTGCTGTGGCAAGGTAGGGGTATGTACGATTGGTTTTGCACAATAGCCAACAATGGACGAATCACCGTTAACTGAGTTCTTTCTTGAAGCTTCTAGGTCGATGGGGTGAGGCTGCTGTTTGTTAGAGCAATATTTATGCCCTTAATTATTTCTTGTTTTGTAAACTGGATTTTCTGAAAATGGGGCAGATTGGTCTACACATCAGGCTTGGTTCAAACCTGCTTCTTTGTCTCCATGCAAATGGTCTGAGAGCCCGGAGGTTGGGGCAGCGCAGAGAGGGGTTGAACATGCCTGTTCTCTGCTCCTTGAGGATAATCAATGTGGGGCTGGGGGGGGGGGAGTTGCTAAAGAACATGCCAGTTCTTTCCTCCTTGAGGATAATCAATGGAAGGGGATTTGCTAAAGACAGGCAGTGGAGTTGCATACCAGGGAACCAGCTTTTGGGGTGCCAAGTAGGTGTGGGTATGGGTTATGAAAGATAGGGGTGGGGCTGGGCCTAGGGACTCAGTTACGCCCTTTCCCTTTGTATTGACTGTAGATTTCCGGGGTATAGCCTTCAATTTCCCCAGCTTTCCTGCTCTGGGGTGAAGGGCTGAGGAGGGTGGAGATGTTTGCCGTTCTGGGGAACCAGGGACTGTGGTCCTTTCCCTTCCCTAGGCTTTAAATGGGAGCAGGGTAGGGTCTGTGCTGGGCAGGGCTGGGTGCTCAAGTGTCCCTGGATTCCAGGAAACTGTCTCTAATCCCCCTGCTTTGAGGGGGTGGGGCAGTGGAGAACAAATCCAGGTCTGAGGCCTGGGGATTTCCTGCTTCCCCAGAATTCTTTGCCTCTGACAGGGAAAAATGAGATCAGCTGTGTTAGGGAGCTAGAGGGAGGTGTGGTGTGGGTTTGGGGGTGGGGGAAGCAAGTTGAACCAGTAACCCGTTGCCATAGTGTCTGTTCCAACTCATGGTGATTTCATGTGAGTCAGAGTAGAACTTGTGCAGTGTTTTCAATGGCTGAGTTTTTTGAAAGCACATTGCCAGGTCTTTCTCCCAAGGTAGACTCAAACCTCTAACCTTTCGGTTAGCAGAGGAGCACCTTAACCATTTGTACCACTCAGGGACTTCTGGCAGCCAAAGAGCCGAATACAGCCTCCAGGCAGCCACCTACCCATTTCATTCTTACCCTGCCCCTGTGTCCTTACACTCAAGACTATCAGGGCCTCAGAGAACCTCAGGGGTCACCTTGCCTCCTAACAAACGCCCCCAGATGAGGACCCTGAGGCACAAAGCTTCAGCGGTCTCCCCAACTTGGCGGA